GCTCTGAAAAGACATGTTATTTGCATTTATTTCATTAAAAAATCCAAATTAATTCAGTTTTGTAAAGGGCGAATAATGTTATTAAATATACTATTGGCAGACTGGATAAACAGGATTTGTCCACACCTCTTCCCAAGAACATTCACCCATAGTAGATGACATTAATTTAAGATCTTCTCCTTGCCATCTGTATTCTGATGTTTTACTACAAGGTGGCAAGGTGTTGAATTGCTTTTATTTGTCCTGCATGTGATTTGTTGAGATTCCCAAATATAAGACCTGTCTCTTGCAGCCATGAAGGTACATCACTCAGATTTTCCTCCAACAGGACCTGCTGCAGGAGCTCAGCTAATGGCCCACAGTGGCAGGGAAGCTAGCTTAGTAATGCACTTTTATTAGTGGCATTCCCATCTTTATATTATTTCCATCTACTTCCCTGCTGGCCTTCCTCACACCTCCCAAGTTCATACTTGCACTTCAGTCTTTATTCCAGAATTTGCTCTTGCTATCTCATTTCTACCCAATGATTTGTTGGCTGTGCTTAGAGGGGAGCTTCTGGCAACACTGTATTGGAGATAAAGAATTTCCATCAAAGAAGATTTTGAAAAAAAATGTAGTTAAGCTAGTAGGGCCTATGTTTGATCTGTATAAGACAACATATAGCCATTGTTGTCATATATGTATAGTAAGGATAATTAAAACATAAATCACTTTGAATATCCTACCACTTTATGTAAAAAGTATAGATTCAATTCATTTAACTCTACAACAGAACTTTCGTTTAAATGACAGTCTACTTAAAAGAGAAAAATTACTATCAAGACACTTTGACATGTACTATACCTATCTTTTGTTGGGTAATGATCATCACCCATACATCCTTACAAGCCTCAAGAAAACTAATTTTTAATATTTCAATGTGTCTCTGGAAAGGAAACTACTTGGATATTTAAAAATGGGCATACCACATGTTAATAAATGGTTCTTCTAAAATTCTAGAGTGATTTAATATTATTTATTGTTTTTAACAACTGTAAAATACATGTATTTCAAAATAAACTTATCTCAAATATTACTCTAACCATATATTTAGAATACAATGATCTGTGTATACTACCACACTTTCTACCATTGTCTGTTTTAATGTATGATAGAACTTTTTCATCAATAAACAAATCAGAAAGCATTTGTTACTATGTACTGTACAAGGTTCTGTGTTAGGTTTAGTAATCTACTTGTGCATTCCCCAAGCTGTCCCCATAGAATGTTTACCGTATATTACTTAGCGTTCTATCTCTAACACTCTTTTAGTCTGTTTTTGCTTGTTTGGCCTTTATAATCTCATTAAGACATCATTTATAATTAGGTAGGGAGAGCATACATTGTCCAAGTTAAAAAAAAAAAAAAGTATTCTGTGTTCCTGTTTAAGTGGCCCATTTAAATCGATGCTGAAGTTTTCAACCTCTATTCACAGACTACAGGGCTTCACTTGAATCTTCAGGAATCCGTAGAAGTTCATTAAGCACAGGCATGGCCGCCTCACCTTACTTTAGGAGTAGAAACTCCAAGATTTAAAAATAATAAAATTCTCTGTTGATTTATGGTATAAAAAGAAAACTCAAGAAGTTATTAATAGCAGGTAATTTTCTAAACTTCAAATACATATTAACCTAAAATAAGTATTACATAAAATATATAAAATAATATAAATATTAACCTAAAATAAATATTATACTTAGCTGTAAATGTTCAGACAGTTTCTTAAGAACAGAACAAGAGTGCCTGCTATCACCACTTCCCTTCAAACATGTACTACAAATTTGAATCAGTACAGTAAGGCTAGAAAAATATACAAAAATTGATAATGGATGAAAACAAAAACTGCCATTAGTAGTGGATGGCAAAGTTCTCTATGTAGAAAATGCAAAATAATTTGCACTATTAGAATACTGAAGAATACAAAAATTAGATACAAAACCCAGAAAATATCGTCTTAAAGACACTATTTACAGTAGTGGCCAAATAAAAAAGTCTCTACAAACAAGGTAATGCACAAGAAGAAACATTTTTTAATATTAAAGACCTCAATTTATGGGCTATACAATAAAATGTTAATATTTTAAACATTCATCAACTATCTCTCCCAAAACTGCTCTCTAAAGTCAATACAGTTTCATTCAAAAGCTACATATTCACAAAGTAATTCTAAGGTGTATATCAAACAACTGCTAGGAGATAAGTCACTCATAAAGAAGAAAAACAATGTTGGGAGACTTGGCTTTTCAGTTATCAAAAAATTTTATAATAATATAGTAATTAGGATAGTATAGCACTCATGTAGATATGACATATTGACCAATGAGAAAAAAACAAAGTCTAGAAACACACTACACATGTAAGAATCTTGATTTATGACAGGTATTAAAAAGCGATTAATATTTTGGTACATGATACTGCACCAATCCATATGAAAAATAAAACTGCACTTCTACCTCACATTATAGAGAAAAATCAATTCTGAGTAGATTAAAGTTCTAAGTAAGAAAGACAAATCTACTTAATTTTTATAAGACAATATAGATTATGATTCTGAGAAGAGACTAGCCATAAAAGAAAATTTATATTATAGAAAATTCACTTTAAAACACACCACAGAGACAACTTCGTGTCACATGTATAAGTGACAAATGATTACCATCAAAAATATTTTTAAAACATTTATGGAAAAGCTAATAGCACAACAGAACACATGGACAAAAGATAGAAACAGAAGTTTCACAAAGGATCGAACACAAATAGTTCATAAATGTGAAGAGATATTCACCTTCATTTATAATAAGGAAAATGCAAATTTAAATCACTATATCATACCATTATGTAGTCATGTGGCAACAAATTTGAAAGTCTGTTAATTTCAAGGGATGGCCTTGAAATTTGTCATGTGGCAGCAAATTTGAAAGTCTGTTAATTTCAAGGGATGTTAATTTCAGTAGGTGGAAGAAGAAGAACTTTCAAGAATTACTTGTGGCTGTGGTAAACGAGTACAATCATTTTGAAAATAATTTTGTACTATTAGGTAAAGTTGAATATGTGCATACCATACGATTCAGTAATTCCACTCCTACGTATATATCCTAGAGTATCTCTAGCACTTATATACCCAGAGCCCAGCACAAAAATGTTGAGGGCTATGTCATTAATAATCTCAAGACTGTAAGCAACTCAAATTTCCACACAATGGTGGACCAGATAAGTATCTGTGTTGCCACAGTAAGAGCAGATATTGATTGAAAGAAACCATCCTATATGAAACTCACAAACATGTTCCTAAATGACAAAATTATGTCATATCTATGTAGAATCAGCTCATTTTTTCCAAAGTTCAAAACAAATAATATTAATAATCAATTGTTTAGGATTTTACTCAGAGGTGGTAAGCACAAAGATAAGTGGGAATGACTGACTCTGAATTCAAGATGAGGGTTAAGGTGCAAGAAGTGTAACAGGAAAGGAGAAAGATGAGATTTAGAATGCATAGAGTACTTCCAGTATCCTGCTAATGTTCTGTATTTTGAACATGGAAATGGGAATAGTGGTTTGTTACTGTTCCTAAAACTTTGTGTGTTTATGTATATATGTATACACACATACAAATAGTATACATATGCATATATATGTTTTATACAATCTTTCACATTAAATATTATTTATATAAGATGCATTCATATTTTTATATATGTTTCTATAAATCTTATACATCTATGCTATATTGTGCAATTTAAAAACTTTTTAAACCTGCTATATTATATTGCATCTTTTGAATGTTTTTTGTCTAAGTATATAAAAGACTTCCAAATAATCTAGCATTATCTAAGTATTTTTACTGTTGGTCATGTATCATTGCTTATTATAGATGTTCATTGACTTCAAAAATCAATCTACACATTTCAGTTTATGCCTTACTCATGCTCCAACATCAGATATTTTTTTT